TTTTGAGAGCCTCAATCAAGTTCATCAACTCCTCAAGCTTTGTTTGCTGGACAGCCTCCATCGGATTGGAGCTTTCACCTATCATTATTCCTGAACGGAGTAAAGGCATTAATCTCAAGTTCGCGAGTAGATCCGAGCTTCGTGAGTGGGAATTTTTCAGATCTGGTTTCGAATTCTCCGAATTATGCTCACCGTTTACGAGATCTGAATTGTCTGAACTCTAAATCCGTCAGATCCTGCCATAATCGAACAACTCGTTGTTGCGTAGATCTGAAGCCACTTCTGCCAAAGCTTCAAGAACTGTAATTCCTCCAGAGTAGGTCACAATCGCTCAGATCTGGATCCAAATCCCAAAGATCGAGTCTCGATCAACCGAATTGGTCTGAATCCACTCGATATTCCTCATTGATCAACCAAACTTCCATGCGATTCCCACAGACGGCGCCAATTGAAGATGCAAGAAATTCATACTCTCTTTCTCTCTCTAGAATTCTTACATTTCAACAAAAAGACCCTCCTATTCTTTTCATTCCTTCCCTTATTTATAGATATTTACAAGATATTTACAAATATTGACGGATTGCTGGATCTGGGCCTGTTCCTCCATAAGTCCTGGTCACCTTTGATGGGCTTATTCACGTTCGGCCCATATGGCAGTGTCTTTTTATGGGCCGACCCAGCTGTACGGACCGGATGTCGTGCTTGCAAGTCAGATCCGGCCCATGTCGTCCTGGGCCTCCTCACAAACTCTAATGGGGGTTTATGTTGGGCTTGATTGAAGTCCGATTGATCGTAGTTGTGCTAGCTTCGATCACTGCAATTGGAGTAAAAGGCCTGAAGCCCAACATTTCATATATCTAATAGATGAAACAAATTGGAACTTTTGGGCTGGATCAGAGTTTGTAGACACAAAACGAAAAATCACTACTCTTTTTACCAAATTCATTTCATCCAACTTTGGGATAAAAGAGTTCGGGTGAGGATTCAATTAGCGATCCAAATTTCTAAATTTTAGTTATTACAATTAAAAAACAAGTTTAATGCATTAAATCAAAGAACCCATCAATTTGAAGAACAAATACATATAAACATGAAAATAGTTATTTTTTTTTAAAATAATAAAAGCAATACTCCTATGAGCCTTTTAATTAGAGGTAAATTAAGAACCCTATTGGACGAGAAGATTTTGGTTGTGCCGGGCATACCATCCAATGCGAATGCAACATATCATTTCGTTATTAGCAATTTTTAAAAGTAGATGGGCCAACTTTCATAGAATGACAGCATTTTCATTGGGTGGGCAATACATGCCCGGCACAACCCATATCTGCTACTTTTAAATACAAATCCAATGTAACCGACCAAATTCACTCCTATCAATAGTGAATTTTGCTACTAATACAATCACCATTATAGCAGCATAATTTAGCAATGACCGTAGTGAAATTCTCCGATTGCAGAAATTGTGATTGAAATTTGATTCAATTGAATGAAATTTTTTTCAATTCCAAATTTAAAGTGCCCCCATCCTTTATCCCAAATATAGTAAGAGTGTACTTAGTTCAACACAACGATACTTTTTTTATTATTAAAATCTTGTTTATTAATACAAATAAAAAGCTAGCCACAACTTCACTTTTAACTAAAGACACCAAACCAACCTTAGGTCACTACTAAGGTTGAACAAAAGCACACAAAAATAAGCACCCAAGCATAGCAAGTAGTCAATGCATCATTTTCATTATAAAATAACCGTCAACACAGAAAAGTAAATCCTAAATACATCACCATCAAAGAAAAGCTGTTACAAATTCCAGTGGGGATATCGTCCAATTACATTCTTTCTTTAGTCCACTGTGAAAAAATTCTACCAATTCCCTTTTACACTCTTTCATATATTCCAACTTAGGTCATAAAATAAACTCAAGAGTATATTTAAATAATAAAAATAAAACAGTTTAGTTAGTAGACCTCTGTGCTTAAAGACACTATATATATAAATAATAGAAAAACTACCAGAGAGAGAGAGAGAGAGAGAGAGAGACCAAGTGGTGGAACAAAGGGAGTGCCTAATGTAAGTGCATTGTGGGTGCTAGGCAAGAACAAAGATAAGAATAATTGGAAGTCATGATGGTCAACTTTTGTTTACTGCTTGGACATATTAATTAATCACTTAAAAAGGACTTGAAGAGGAATTTAAGGAGAGGAAATTACTTTGAAGTGAATGGTGGGATCCTTTTGTTAAAACTTCATCGCAACTGGGAAAAAAGGTAACCCTAATGTTTAAATTTTAGGTAAATATTACCTATAAGATTTTTTTGGGTTATATAAGTGCAATAAGTTTATAAAAATAATCGAAGAGGGCTTGAGGTCGCTATTTGGTTAAAAATTTAGTTATGTGCATTGCACGTGACATTTTTAAGATATAACATTCTGAAAGTTTTATTTTAAAGATATATAAGAAGAAGAAGAAGAAGAAAAAAACAAAGAAAAAGGGACACTTTAGTTATTTCATATTTAATTATTTTTTTATCTTTTTTTATTCCGTTAGAGGAACACTTTAATCTTTTCAGCATTCAGTCTCTTATTTGCTCAAAAATTAAATGTTAGAGATTTTTCAGACAATATAGAAAATTATACACTCTATATGCATGCCACATGAGTGTTTTACGTTCGCGACTCTTGTGACTATATTAATCCTCCACCTGTCAAAGATTTCTAAAGAATTTATTGTAACTAAAATAATGTAAAATTGAAAGTGATTTTAAAGCCGAAAAGTTTGAATGAGATGGTGAATGAAATGCTCTTTATTTATTAGATACACTTAATTGAAAGTGACATAAAACTCAATTGAATAAAGAGTCTTCGACTTTTTATTTTATTCAAACTCTCGACCGAGAATAGTATTATTCAGCTCACAATTAGACGAATTTGAATATAAGGAGTCAAATTTCTAACACATTGAGACAAAGGGTTTCTAACAAAGTGGCCACTGTGTCCAGTCAATCGCGTGGCTTCCTTTCTTTGTGGAAGATAAATTTTCCATGAGAAAGTTTCACCAAAACTGTTTGGACAATTTAAAAGGAACTTCTGTGTCATTTCTTCAACTTTCTTTTGAGGTTGGGGATGTAATCGGATGGTCCCACAATACCTCATCATGTAATCCTAAAGCAATTTCCCATTAACAAGAATGAATGGAAAAAAAAAAAAAAAAAAGAAAGATACCTCCTCCTGTTTCCCCATTATTAGGTGCCCATACTCTCTCCCTCGCTCTAGTCTCTCTCTCTCTCTCTCTCTCTATATATACTGTGTATGCAATTATGCATGTCTAAAGTTGTGTGTATACCGTATATATGTTTGGACGTGGAACATGTGTTTTTCTGTTCAGTGGAGACACAAACTAATGGATTAACATTTGAAAAAAAACAATGTGCCTGTGTGTGTGATTTTTTTTTTTTTTTTTTTTTCGGGGTAGTATTGAATAAGAAAAAAGTATCTCACCTATTTCACAAAAAAAAAAAATCTCACCTATTTCACAAAAAAAAAAAAAAAAAAAAATCACCTCTTAGGGTGTTTGTTGTGTCATGATTGTAAAAATAGGCTTTGTTTTGTTAATACATCCTAACACACACAAATATATTTAAGATAACTCAATTTTAATTCAAATTATTTACAGAAAAAAATTAACTTGGATCTTGTATAACACTGAGTTTCAATCTTGCTATTTTCTATTTGTTGATATTTTGCATAAATGCGTAGTCAACAAAATATTCTATGTCAAAATTGCATTTTATATTTTCAAAATAAAACGATGAATATAAATATATATATATATATATTTTAAAAATAACTCTAAAAAATTTCTGAGACACATTAATGTTGTTAATTATTATAAGTAAAATTAATTTAATAATTCTTGTTATCAAAAGCAAACTCGGTCTCCTGAATATTGTTGGTGGCTTGCTTCTACAAGCCAGAAGTGTGAAGAGCAAATTGTACTTCTTATTAAAAATGAGATCATCTATCTTTCTCTTTGAAATGAGAGGAAATACTACTACATTGTATATGTCGTGATCTCTCCTCCCATTTTCGGGAGGTTGAGAGTTCGATATGTGGTGGGGGTAAAAACTAAAAATATATAACAGTATATGTTTGATTGAACTTTTTGAAACCTAAAACACCTAATTATTCCAACGTGGTTATGAAACCTGAATTACAAGTCCGATTTATGTTGACGCTTCACAATCCAATGGGGTTTGTGTTGGGCCTGATTGAAGTCCGATTGATAATAGCTGTGCAAACTTCTATCAGAGCACTTGGAGTAAGGCCTAAAGCCCAACATTTCATATATCTAATAGATGAAACAAATTGGAACTTTTGGGCTGGATCAGAAACGACTCAACAAGCTAAAAATGTGGGCCTTGTCTTTCAAATTGAGCCTTCTTTTCATACTACTTTTGCAGACACAGAACGAAAAATCAGTACTCTCTTTATCAAATTCATTTCATCCGACTTTGGGATAAAAGCAATACTCTTATGAGCCTTTTAATTAGAGGTTAATTAAGAACTCTATTGGACAAGAAGATTTTGGTTGGGCCAGCCATACCATCCAATACGAATGCAACATATCATTTCGGTTATAAGCAATTTTTAAAAGTAGGTGGGTCACCTTTACAACATTTTGGTTGGGTGGACAATACATGTCCTGTGCAATCCACATCTATTAATTCTAAATCCAAATCCAACTGAATTCATTCCTATCAATGGTAAATTTTGCTACTAATAAAGTCACTGTTATAGTATCATAATTTAGCAGTGACTGTAGCGAAATTCTCCAATTGTGAAAATCGTGATTGAAATTTGATTCAATTGAATTAAATTTTTTTCAATCCCAAATTTAAAGTGTGGAATCCTTTCTCCCAAATATAGTAAAAGTGTAATAAGCTCAACCACAACAATACTTTTTATTAAAATTTTGTTTATTAATACACCAAACCAACCTTAGGTCACTAAGGTTGAACAAAAGCACACAAAAATAAGCAACCAAGCATAGCAAGTAGTCAATACATCATTTTCACGACTTTCTTCCAAGAAGGGCGGCTTGAGATATCCATCCACCAGTCATTTACATTCTTCCTCTCCCTCACCAAGTGCCCCTTCCCAGCCTCATTCACGAGATACCTAATGGCGGGAAGGTGGCTTAGGTCGGCGAGGGAGAAGGAGTCTCCGGCAAGGTACTTGCTCTTCGACAACCTTTCCTCGTACACGTCGAGCACTTTTTTGAGCTTGTTCTCGGAGCTGTGGACCAATGCCATGTCGCCACATTGCCCCATCCCCGGAAGGATCACAAGATGAAGCACCATAGTGAACACCAAGTCATTGAAGTTGTTAACATAATTAGAATATAGCCGTTGTTTATATTACTACCATAATTGCATTATTATAGCCTTAGTCTAGATAATTACTATAATTGTTGTATAGCCGTTGGTGATCTCTAGCCTATATATATCTCTCCTTGTACATGTATTACAAACACTTCAATTTACAGAATATCTACATTTCATATATCTCTGACTCTCTCTTTATCTCTCTATTTCTGATAATTAACATGGTATCAGAGCCATGAATTATTATTATATTTTTTTATCTATATATATATATATATTTTTAATCTGAACAACACCACCTAACCTCACCGCCGGCGCTGCTCTCTACAACTGCAAACTACAAAATCTACAAAACCCATATATTTCAGAAGTTCTTCCTCTCTGCCACTCTCTCTGCAACAATTTATACAAAACCGATTACCTACATCAACACCCATATCTTTCAGTTTTTCATCGCCGGCTATTCCAGTACAGGTTCGCGATCTCAGCCACTGTTCCAATTCGGGTTCACAATCTCAGCCGGATTCTTTCGCCGTCACCGAATGGATCTCAGCCGGTATCACTGACTTCAGCCGTGTTCCGCAGCGTTCAGCCGTGTTCTGCCGCTGCCCCTTTGCCGTCGCTAGCTTCAGCCGTGTTCCTCTGTATATATTTCTTTGCCGTGTTCCTCTGCCGTCGCTGTGTTCTCTCTCTCTCTATATATATTTATATATAATATATATTATATATTATATCTTTATCTTTTACCTTACCCAGAATATATAATATTATATATATCCATAATATATATATATATATATATATATATATATAATATCTTCACCTAAAATATATTATATATATTTTATCTCCCCCAGAAAAACAAAATCCTAAATCTCTCTCCATAAATATTATATATATTTATAATATATTATGTTTATGGGGGAAATTGAGCTATTGGACCTAAATCAAACTTATTTTAGGGGCTGCAGTCAGAGCTCTTGGGGGCAGTAATCAAAACTATTCACCAGGTACACAGTCTCATATATTTTCAAGTTATGGACAGGTCTGAAATTTCTCATTCTATTGGCACTACCTTGGAGGGTTGCTCAAATTACATTCTTTGGTCTCAAGCTATGTCTAGTTTTCTTAAAGGTAAGAAGCTATGACGCATTATTACCGGTGATCTCTTTGAGCCAGTGCAAGTCGGAACAGAAACAAAAGAAAAATATAGTGATCGTCTTGAAGAATGGGATAACAAAAATCATCAAATTATTACTTGGTTTCGCAACACCTGTATTTCATCCATTAGTATTGAATTTGGCCGGTTTAATTCTGCAAAATCCATCTGGGATTTCTTAAAGCACCGTTACACCACTACTGATCTCGCCCATCAATATCAACTTCTGACCAATCTTCACAGCAAAACTCAACAGCCTGGTCAATCTATCAGTACCTTTGTCTCTGAAATACATGCTATTTGGGATCAACTATCTCTTTCTAAACCTACTTGGTCGTGTGCTACTGATGCTACAAAGTTTACTACCTATCGAGATCGTCAACGTGTCATCATGTTTCTTATGGCTCTTCAACCCTCATTTGAACCCGTTCAAGCCTCTCTCCTTCATCGGCATCCTCTGCCTACCTTAGAAGATGCTATAACTGAGCTTCTTTCAGAAGAAACTCGTCTAAATACATCTCAACCTCAGGTTACCGATGCAGCTCTTGCTACTCATTATCCCAGAAAGAAACCAGCTTCATCTTTCTCCTCTCCCAAGGAGTGTACCTACTGTCACAACACAGATCACGCTTTATTAACCTATCCCACCAGAATCTGCAAGTTTTGTCACAAGAAAGGCCCAGGTCACTACCAGAGTGATTGTCCCAAGAATTGGCAATCTCGCACCAATTCTTCCAGAGGTACTTCATCTAGCCACAAACACCCATCTTCATCCTTCACTGCTGTCACTGCTAAGGGGGAGCTTCTACAGTCACAACGATGTCTACCAATGATATCGAGGCTCTTCTTAAGCAGATTCTCTCTAATAATGGTACTCCTCCTTCCACTGCTATGTCAGTTACCTCAGGTAATTCTTGGTTTTTTGATTCTGGCTGCTGTAATCATATGACCTCTGATTCTACAATGTTTTCTAAACATAATCCTGCTATCAATACACCTATAATTCATACAGCTGATGGATCTCACTTACATGTCAATCACATTGGTCAAATTTCCACCCCCAATGTCTTACTCTCAAATACCTTCCATATACCAAAACTTACAATCAATCTTATCTCTGTTGGTCAAATATGTGAACTTGGACTTAATGTCATTTTTTCTAATTCCGGTTGTCATGTACAGGATCCATAGACAGGGCAGACCTTTGGGATAGGCCGTAAAGTGGGACGTCTCTTTGAGCTCATCCATCTACGCATTTCTTCTCATCGGCTCTCTACAGTTTCCACCGTTGCTTCAGCAACCTCTACTCCCTCACTTAGCCTTTGGCATTCCCGATTAAGTCATGTGTCTGTTGGGCGTTTACGCTCCTTAGTGTCAACTGGTCAATTAGGTTCAGTTAAAATTGATGATGTAACTTGTTTACCATGTCAACTTGCAAAACAACCTGCTTTACCTTTTAATAAAAGCACATCTATTACTTCTGCTCCTTTTGACCTAATTCACTCTGATATATGGGGACCTTCTCCTCACATTACAATGGGAGGATCCAAATACTTTGTTATTTTCCTTGATGATTACTCACGATTTACTTGGCTATATCTCATGAAAAATCGCTCTGAATTACCCCAACTTTACTATGATTTTGCAAACATGGTCAAAACCCAGTTTTCCCGATCCATCAAGATCTTCCGCGCTGATAATGCTATGGAATACAATGAAACAAATTTTCTAAAATTTCTTCGCCGACATGGCACGATCTCTCACTCTTCTTGTCCTGGCACATCCCAACAAAATGGGCGGGCTGAACGTAAACATCGATATATCTTAGACACTGTTCGTTCTCTTCTCATATCCAGTTCCTGTCCTGAGCGTTTTTGGGGGGAAGCAGCTCTCACTGCTGTATACACCATTAACCGTGTTCCAATGCATATTATTGGCAATCAATCTCCCTATGAACGCTTATATAGGATCCTTCCGGCTTATAACCTACTTAAAGTTTTTGGATGCGCCTGTTTTGTCTTACTTCAACCTCATGAACGCACCAAATTGAGCCTCGGGCTCGTTTATGTTGTTTTTTGGGTTATGGAATTAAACACAAAGGATACAGATGTTGGGATCCCATTTCCAAACGTCTTCATATCTCTCGTCATGTCATCTTTTGGGAACACAAAATGTTCTCTTCTTTCTCCAAATTCCATCTATCTTCATCTTCTACTCCTTCATTTTTTACCGATTCTTCAGTTGAACTTTTCCCAATCGACACAGATATCATATCCTCATCTGAGATCCCAACCACTACTCCTGATACAACGTCTTCATCTGAGCTCCCACAAATGGCTTTACTTGATGAATATGCTTCATCTGATGTTCATGCTACTGAATCTCTATCTGAGCTCCCACAAATGGCCTTACCTAACGAATCTGTTTCATCTGATGGTTCTGCTACTGAATCTTCTTCATCAGATATCATCACTACTGCTAAACCTCCTCATCGGGTAAGAAAACCTTCTAGTCATTTACGTGATTTCCAGTGTTTTTCTACTATCATGTCTCATCATGAGCCTCAATCCTACCGCGAGGCTAGTTCTAACCCCCTTTGGCAGCAAGCTATGGCAGAAGAATTACAGGCTCTAACACAAGCTCAGACTTGGGACATGGTTGCTCCTCCCTATGACAAAACTGTTGTTGGCTGTAAATGGGTTTACAAAACCAAAACTCATTCTGATGGTTCTGTGGAACGATACAAAGCTCGTTTTGTTGCAAAGGGTTTCACCCAAGAATATGGCATTGACTATGAGGAAACATTTGCCCCTGTTGCTCGACTTACTTCTGTCCGTAGCCTATTGGCTGTGGCAGCAGCCCGCAAATGGGCATTGTTTCAAATGGATGTGAAAAATGCATTTCTCAATGGCGATCTCACTGAAGAAGTATATATGAAACCCCCTCCAGGATATAACCATTCTCCACACCAAGTTTGTAAACTCCGTCGAGCACTATATGGTCTTAAACAAGCTCCAAGGGCATGGTTTGCAAAATTCAGTGCTACAATTGGAGATTTTGGATTTACTTCAAGCTCATATGATTCCAGTCTTTTCATCCGCAAGACTGACTCTGGTATTACTCTTTTTTTACTTTATGTTGATGACATGATAATTACTGGAAATGATCTTGCAGGTATCTCTGCACTCAAAAATTTTCTTAGTCATCATTTTGATATGAAGGATCTTGGGCACCTTAGTTATTTCCTAGGCTTAGAGATTCTCTCTGATTCGGATGGCTATTATCTCTCCCAAGCCAAGTATTCCTCTGACATTTTTGCTCGTGCTGGACTCACGGATTGCAAAACAGCTCCCACTCCACTTGAGATCAATGTCAAGCTCACTTCTCTAGATGGTACACTCCTCAGTAATGCTACATTGTATCGACAGTTGGTTGGCAGTTTAGTATACCTTACTGTTACTCGATCTGACATCGCTTATGCCGTGCATCTTGTTAGCCAGTTCTTATCTGCACCTCGATCTACTCATTATACTGCTGTATTACGCATCCTTCAATACATTAAAGGGACTATGTTTCAAGGCCTTCATTTTTCTTCTCATTCTTCACTTGAGTTACGTGCCTACTCTGATGCTGATTGGGCAGGTGATCCGACTGACCGACGTTCCACTACTGGCTACTGCTTCTTCCTTGGAAACTCTCTCATTTCTTGGCGCAGTAAAAAACAATCTATTGTCTCCAGATCCAGTACAGAGGCCGAATACCGTGCCCTTGCTGATTCCACACAAGAACTTATTTGGCTTCGATGGCTTTTAACAGATATGGGTATTTCTCACTCCACTGGCACTGTTCTCTATTGTGATAATCGAAGTGCTATTTACATTGCTCATAATGACTTCTTCCATGAACGCACCAAACATATTGAAATCGATTGTCATATTGTGCGTCAACATGTTGCACGGGGCACTGTACGCCTTCATTCTGTAACTTCCGCTAATCAAACCGCTGACATTTTTACCAAAGCTCATCCGCCAGGTAGATTTCGGGAATTAGTTTCTAAACTCAAGTTGGTTTCTGCTTTACCATCTTAAGTTTGAGGGGGGATGTTAACATAATTAGAATATAGCCGTTATTTATATTACTACCATAATTGCATTATTATAGCCTTAGTCTAGATAATTACTATAATTGTTGTATAGCCGTTGGTGATCTCTAGCCTATATATATCTCTCATTGTACATGTATTACAAACACTTCAATATACAGAATATCTACATTTCATATATCTCTGGCTCTCTCTTTATCTCTCTATTTATGATAATTAACAGAAGTTGTGTGCTTCTACTTCAAGCCATTGATCAATTAGGGCTCTCTCCTCCAAGGTGGTTCCTAGTAGGTTGGGGCTTTTGTTGGCATACTTGGCTGCATAGTAATGAACGATTGCCCTCGACTCTGCAGAAATTGTCAACCAAACACGGAATAAGAAAAATGAATTATGTCACATACTTGATTTCCATATAGTATTCATGTGCACGACACAACATCGTGTCTAAATAACTCAATAAACAATACTTGTCTCCATTATTCCACAGGAATCTTTTAGGCTGAAGAAAGCTTGAAGTTGACATGTAAAGTAAAGATGGAAAATAGACAAGTTCACAAAGTGATCCAGCTGCTTTTGATGCCTTGACTCTTAAGAAAAGTAAATCCTAAATACATCACCATCAAAGAAAAGCTGTTGCAAATTCCAGTGGTTATATTACCAATTACATTCTTTCTTTAGTCCACTGTGAAATAATTCTTCCAATTCCCTTTTACACTCTTTCATATATTCCAATTTAGGTCATAAAATAAACTCAATAGTTTATTTAAATAATAAAAAATAATAATTTTTTTAATTAGTAGACTTTGTGATTAAAGAAAATATAAATAATAGATAAACTACTAATAAGAGAGAGAGAGAGAGAGACCAAGTGGTGGAACAAAGGAAGTGCCTAATGTAAGTGCATGGAGGGTGTTAGGCAAGAACAAAGAAAAGAAAAATTGGAAGTCATGATGGTACCTCTTTTAAGTTCCACTTTTATTTTCTGCTTGGACATATTAACTAATCACTTAAAAAGGACTTGAAGAGGAATTTAAGGAAAGGAAATTACTTTGAAGTGCATGGTGGGACCCTTTTGTTAAAACTTCTCCGTAACTGGAAAAAAAATATTCATAATGTTTAAATTTTAGGCAAATATCACTTATAAGATTTTTTTGGAATATACAAGTGCGTTAAGTTTGAAAATATGATCAAAGAGGGTTTGAAGTCGCTTTTTGGTTACAAATTTAATTATGCGCATTTTTAAGATATAAAATTCCGAAAGTACCATTTCTCTCTCCTAATATTGCCCTTATATATAAGAAGGGCAAAAAAAAAAAAAAAAAAAAAAAAAAAAAAAGAGGGACATTTTAGGCATTTCACATTTAATTACTTTTTTACCTTTTTATTCAGTTATAGAGAGACATTTTAGTTTTTTTCAGCATTCAATCCCTTATTGGCTCAAAAATTGAATGTTAGAGATTTTGCAGAACGTATAAGGGATTATACGCTTTATATGCATACCTATATGGGTGTTTTTCGCTGGCAACCCTTGTGACTATATCAATCCTTCACCAATCAAAGGTTTATGAAAGAACGAAACTAAAATAATCTAAAACCGAAAGTGGTTTTAAATTAAAGTCGAAGAGTTTGAACGAGATGGAAAATGAAATGATCTTTATTTATTAGATATTGTTGGAAGTTAATTCAAATTTAATTTCATTGATATCGTCAAGTATCTTGACACTTAGATTTTTGAAATTAAAATAAAATGATTGATAGGTTTAGGTTGTTAGAGATTGAATGATGGTTGTTGATACGGAATATTCGACTAGATAAGAATTCCAAGTGACATGGAGGCTCAAAGGGTATGGATAAACTTAAGGAGATAAGGTGACAATCTCATAAGGTAATTAAAGGATAAGAGTTGATTAATTCAAAGGTTGCACTAAAGATATGATTAACTAATCCCTTCTCTCTCGGAAGGAAATGCGGAAACGACAACTTCAACTTTCTATAAAAGTGAGGCTAGTCAACATAAAAAGGTCCGCCATAAATCTCATCTAATAGGAAATCCTTTTCTCGGATATTCAATGGTCAAGTACTAACTTGATCGTCGGAGTGCACCCGACCGGCACCACGCCGGTCATCACTTCTTATCTTGCAGGAATGGCCGTTGGCTCCAGATAGTGCGGATTTTTGCACCAACAGTTGACGCCGTCTGTGGGAAACGTGTGTTAGTCCCAACAAATTACGACCAAGAAATTATTGATCTATAACAGTGTTCGTGTTCTTGGCCTTTGTTGTCGATCCTGACCAACTCCAATGTTTCGTTCATTATCGATCACAAAAAAATGGTTTAGCAACGAAACAAGTGTCTGTCTCCATCGATATCTGCAACCAATAAACTGGGTACGCGCCGTCTACCCATGTCTATTACTTTTATCAAATTTGTGGTTGATTCATACTTGATAAATCTAGTTCTTTTATGCTCTGTTACATATCTTGTATAAATATATATCCTATATATTTTATACTACACAAATGAGCATGAGTTAGATTAGATCATAATAAACAATAAGTATCTAGTGGTTTACAAATTTTGCCGACAGATCTCAAAGTATTCTTGTTCTTCCTAGATAATAAGATTGTCTGATTCTAAATATACATTTATTATTAATCTTTATTTGATAAGATAAATGTGAAGAGGGAGATCAGATTAAATCTATGAGAGAAAGGTCCAGATGCAATCAGTATAGCTAGAGTCCTCTAACATATATATAGATATATTTGTATCAATTTGTATGTTTCTCTATATTTCTCTCTCTTCTTGAAGAAGTTGTTTACACACGTAGTGATAATGGTGTCTGAGAAATTCGTGTTATACGTCTTAAAACACTTTTGAGTTGTGAATCATTGCTCTTGGATTAAACAAATCCTGTGATTTGTTGAATATATATATATATATATATATATATATATATCATGGTTTTCAGATCATACAGTTATACTTCCGCAGCTTTGCAACAAAATTTAATTTTTATTCAGGAAGATTTTCTAAATTTAAAATAAAAAAACACCCAATGGTATTTGGGTTTAGTGGTCTGGGAGCACCAATTATTATTACATGGTCACATTCCCTATGGTTGGCTTAAAGATAATTTGGATTTAGTGGTAGACCCATTTTGCATTCACCCACCATTCTATTTGATAATGTACATCTCACTGAAGATCTTTTTACAGAGACGGAAAAAAAAAAAAAAAACTGAAACAATATAAATTGTGCATCAAGTGTGACAGTAGTTTATATGACGTATATGTACGTGTATTCTTTTAGCTTCTGTAAACTATCTCACCATTAATATATACATATTTATACATATATAAAATTGATCATATCACTACTTTTTATGATTTAACTAATTAGAGTGTGAGCATTATTCTTACATGCACCTGATAATTCTCTTTAGCATTTAAAGGTGCTTTCTGACTAGAGCATATATAGTTTAATGCGAGTAAGCATTTGCATGTTCTTGAGTACAGTAGTATGGTTTAAGATTCTCACATTCAACACAACACACGAGACTCTATAGCCATTGTTGTATCCCTGCTTAGTTTCTTAAAATAGTAAGATTTTTGAAAAAAGAAAAAGAAAAAGAAAAAATCATTTACCGCACATTATTTTTAACACATATAAACATTACTATAAGGTTGGTCCATCTTTGTTCACTTCTTGAGCACAACTATCGAGCACACTTTTGAAGCATAAAGTCTTCCAGGAAGCAGTACTTAGCGTACAATGCCATTTGACGAGGATATTATTGGCCAATCACTTTGAGACTCTATCAAAGGGGCGAGTTCAGAATTACTACGAACCTCCTTATTAAAGGGGCGAGCTGAATGAAGCTCATAATCGTCGTACCCCGTATTAAAAAAATTTAATATAAAAGTGCCCCGTACTATAAGGGCCCGAGCTGAATGAAACTTGTAATTGTCGTCCTCCGTATTAAAAGGGATCGAAATCAAAGGGCCCCGTACTATAAGGGCCTGAGCTGAATGAAGCTCGTAATTGTCGTCCTCCGTATTAAAAAGGGTCAAAATCAAATTGCCCCATACTATAAGGGTCCAAGCTGAATGAAGCTCGCAATTGTCATTCCCCGTACTAAAAGGGATCAAGTCAATGTGTCCTGTATTAAAAGGCGAGAGGCCAACTACACCTCATTCCTTCATTAAAAGGAACGAGAAAACGACTACTCCCTCTACACAGAAGGGTGAGATAATTAAAGCTTCCTTCATTTACTAGAGAGACGAGACGACTACCTCTCGTATTAAAAGGGTCACCCTCATTAAGACTACACCCTTTCTCCCATAAAGGAACGAAGGGTCAACTTCATTTTCTTCCCTCGGTAAAAAGACGAGGAGTAAACTACTCCCTTATTAAAAGGTGAGCTGACAAAGCTCGAGCAAATCCACTCCCTTATTAAAAGGGGCAAGAAATTAATCATCAAGTATGCTTAGCTTGGAAGGACTTGGCATTCCCGACACTTGACAAGCAAGATTTCGGGAATGGGGGTTACTGATACGGAATATTCGACTAGATAAGAATTCCAAGTGACATGGAGACTCAACGGGTATGGATAAACTGTTGCCCAAGGATTGACTCTAGAGGGGAGGTGAATAGAGTCAATGGCCAATTTTCACAATTTATAGATTTACAATTTCTAATTAACCACTTAAGTAATTATGCAATATTCAAGATATGAAAGTAAACAATTAATAGCACAATTGTAAAGGAGATAAGGGAAGAGAAATTGCAAACAATGACTCGGTGATTTTAGCGAGGTTCGGAAACTCCTACTTCTCGGCTCAAGACCCCTCTTGAGACTTCCCAATCCACTATGGCTTCTCCTTACGGGTGGAGAGCAAACCTTTACATGAAGCAACTCCTTGCTTCTCTTTCTTGCTAGGAGAACACCCTTCTCCTAAGCTTCTTTTGGGTCACACCAACCCTTACAAGTTTGTAGAAAAGTTTGTAATTGAAATACAAGATTGAATCTCTCTCAAGATAGATATACAAATTTAGCTCTCAACTAGAATATATATGAATATCAATGAAGCTCAAACTCTATGAATGATATGAATGAGAGAAGATGAAATATGTGAAGAATAAAAGCTCTTATGAACTCAATAGGATCTCTCAAGTATAGAATAGAGCAAAAGCTCTTTGAATGCTTAGTTGAATCTCTCAAGTATAGTATATGAATGAATGAGAGAGATGGAGAGAAAAAAATGAGAACAAAAGCTCTCTTTGATGCTTAATAAGGTCTCTCAAGTGTTGGCTCCCTTTCATGCCCACAATGTCCTTACATTGTGTATTTATAGGCCCTTGGAAGAATATAGCTGTTTGAGGGCATTATGGTAAGTTCCTATGAGGTCAGATGGTCAAAATAGCCGTTGGAAAGCTTCTGCCCATTCATCTAACCGGTTACAAGTTGTTGTCT